CATGTTATTGCATCTCATCCGATAGAGTCAGCAGGCATCGAACCCGGGATCATTGGGATGTTAGTTGTGACCGCTACCCCTAAGTTACACAACGTGTACTACAAAATGACCCTCAATATCATTTATTTAGCCGTTGTGCCAAGCGTTGCCCGTCGTGACCCGGCGGCTTAGGGATAGCGGTCACAACTAACATCCCAATGGTCCCGGGTTCGATGCCTGCTAACTCTATCTGATGAGATGTATTAACACCGAAACGCGTCATAGTAGTGCAGTGTTTTCGGGTGGGCAACACCAAATTTCTATTTGACCCTCATGAGGTTGTTGAATCGACTGCGCCCGGCTTGTCTTCTCTCTATTGGTTGTAAGCATCCGGATACGCAGATGCGGCAGCCTCTGGTCAAGCGGGGATGGGCGTTGTTCTCATTTCCAGGGCTGAGTCATCCTTGGTTGATTGGATTCCCGTGAACAGCCGTTTGGGTGCAGCCCGTTTGACGACATCAACTAAGGTGGATTTACGAAGTAATACAAGACGTTGTTTGTGGTTGCTGCTTATGCCCCCCATCACTGCAGTTCTGAGGCTACTAAGAACACGTACTACCACGAACTGAACACGCTGCTTCGCTGTTACTAGTTCAGATATCGTTGTTATTCCAGGGGATATGGATGCGCAATACCCCACATTCACTTTTCGGCAGATGCTAGAGTAGCGCCGCAACCCGACGATAGCTGTGTTCCTCGACTTCAAGCGTACGTTCGACTCAGCTGATCAATGTATTCGGTTCAAAATACCTGCGCGGAAAGGTGTTCCCATGAAATATGTGAACACTTTATGTTCTCTATACTCGGACGCGACAGACTGCCTCAGGGTGTACGGTGACTTATCAGATATCTTCCCGACAACAAGTGGCATTCGCCAGGGTTGTCCAATTCCCTCATTTCTGTTCAACTTCGTCATGAACTCCGTCATGAAGTGTTCCTTTGCAGAATCTATCCATGCAGGTGTTGAGGTGTTCCTGATGAAATGATTGTCGATCTTAATGATGCGGACGATATTGTCATGTTCAAGCATGTTGGGGTGGCACATTCAAGCCTGAATAACCTCTCTAGTTTGGTCCTATCATTAGGCAGGCACTTTGCACCTTCAAAGTACAAAGTCTTGTTGCTGGACCACTAGCCACTTGATGACCCCTTGACCCTTGGTAGCGAGTAACTCGAGGTAGTTGATGAATTCACTTACCTTAGCAGTTACATCAGCAACCATGCGCGCAGTACCACTGAAGTCAGTTCACGTATTACAAAGACCGGAGCTGTCTTCCTAAATCTTCTACATCTTTGGCGCCAGAAAGGAGTTTCTCTCCTTCTGAAAAGCTGTGTTTACAAGACAACAATGAGGGCCATAATAATCTATGGTGGTGCAACTTGGTCCTTCGAGCTAAGAATTTTATGCGCCTTTAAGTTTTTTATCATCGCTCTCTTCGAAGCACTGCTGGTGTCCGATGGCACCAGCATGTCCGCAACGATAATGTGCGTAGGCAAGTGCTAGGCAGTGACAACCAAGCTAGTTTCTTAGAACAACAGATAGCACTGAGTAAGTTGCGTTGGCTTGGGCGCTTACTATATGCTCCTGGTCACCGCTTACCGAGGAGGGCCTTCTTTGTCTGCCCGAGGTGGGCAAAAGGTTACTTGGTAGCATGAATTGAATTCACTGGCGACCAAACTGAGTGCAGTTGGTCCGTCTCGCCTTCCAGGCTGGAGTCCACATGACGCGCCCTGTGGTTGCCTCGAGACATTACAGGACATGGCTAGAAGTCCACACTATTGACGCGTCTGCTGCCGTCTCCTAGTCGAACTGCATGTCGACAGTGTGTTTTTTGCTGAGTTATCTGCTGCGTAGTGGCTGGTTATGGCACGGAGTAGTGAACGCCGCAAAGAAGCTATCTCACTGATGCCACCTTGTCTTTGCAAGATATCCAGCTGTTTATGACGACATGTTGTTGACAATGTGTAGGTGCCTTGATCCTGAATGTTTAATTAGGGCATTAATTCGAAATAATTTGGAACACTGGTAGCCCGGCTTGGTTGCTCACCTGTTGATCGTTTTTCCGAGCTTGATTAAGAAATCGCATACGTTTCACCACCATGCGAGGTGGCATCTTCAGTGCAGTAATAGGCAGTGTGTAATGCTGCTTAGTGAATTGTCAGTCCGTCATCCACGGGCAGGTGACTTTTGAAGGTGGCGATTTCGATTTGTGCCACGTGATCTCTGCCCATTTGCTTCCACGGCTGAACCAGGTCTTGCGATTCGCCGTAGATCTTGCTTTCGGAGTTGATGGTACACGGGGTCAATGTCGATGCGCATGTTGCTCGAATTATTAGAGGAGTACCATGCTTCTAGGAACTCTCTTCCTTTCTGTGTTGTTGTTTGAGCTAAAATCACTGTTTGGTTCCAATTGAAGCTATGTCCCTCCTCATCTACATGCGCTGAGACAAGAGACGATGCTCAGAAACCAACCGCTAGTTTGGGAAGAATACTGTCAAACCCAAAGGACATTCGGAATGCACAAGAACGAACAAGTGTCGTGTTGAAAATAAATTGCAATACTTGTGGAATGAACTATGTGGGACAGACAGAAAGGCAACTATCCATAAGCATATAAGAACATCAGAGGGCTTGTAAAAAACATTATGCATCGTCTCTTGTCTCAGCGCATGTAGATGAGGAGGGACATAGCTTCAATTGGAACCAAACAGTGATTTTAGCTCAAACAACAACACAGAAAGGAAGAGAGTTCCTAGAAGCATGGTACTCCTCTAATAATTCGAGCAACATGCGCATCGACATTGACCCCGTGTACCATCAACTCCGAAAGCAAGATCTCCGGCGATTCGCAAGACCTGGTTCAGCCGTGGAAGCAAATGGGCAGAGATCACGTGGCACAAATCGAAATCGCCACCTTCAAAAGTCACCTGCCCGTGGATGACGGACTGACAATTCACTAAGCAGCATTACACACTGCCTATTACTGCACTGAAGATGCCACCTCGCATGGTGGTGAAACGTATACGATTTCTTAATCAAGCTCGGAAAAACGATCAACAGGTAGGGCATTAATTTTTCCGATAAGCCCCCTTCTCTCCCTCATATTATTTTTCCTTCCATAGGTTGTTGTGGTTGTATGGCAGCGAATCAAGAGGCCCAGTTTTAATGATTCACGCCGAGGTGAACACGTCATCAGCATATTTTAGAGCTCTGGCTTCTTCGGGCAATGGTATGGAGCTAACGTAGGTAGAGAATAATAATGGTGACAGTAAAGCTTCCTGAAGGACACCGGAAGTTGTGGTAAGTGGCCATGAGCTTTTACTGTGAAATATGGTGATCTGAGTACGTTTGGCGAAAGAATCCTTTAGCACGAAGACAGTGATGAGTTAAGATAGTGACTTCTGACTGTTCTCCTTTTAGGGAGCCACTTCTTTGGCTCGTAGTTTCTACCTTTATTGTTTTGAAGTTTTGTTGCGGACCCACCACTGGATGACCCGCTGGATATTAACGACGAGGACTGTGCATAGTTAAGCAGTTCTCCTATTTTCGTAGCTACATCATCACCGGCGTGTATGGAAATGCTGGACTGCGCTCATCTATTGCAGAATCTAAACTAGTTTTTACGAATCCATCAGTAGCATCAGTAACGATGTATCAACCATTTGAACTGATGCTTCGCTACCGTGCAAAAAGGTTAATTTGCGGAACGAAGAATAATGAGTGTGAGGGAAGGGGGCCTAGTGTAAACGCTTCGGGGTCAAGGCGCCCAGACTTTGTCGACAATACACCGTCATGCAAAAATAAGACACGATAACCAGTTGTGTTATGAATCCACAATCATTCTGACACCACAAGTGATATTTCTCTGGTCTGAACAATCGTTTAGGGTACACCAAATTAAGGGCTTTTCTCCTCCATGGGATAAGATTTGACCCAGTCGGTTTAAAGACCAGGGGCATATTTGCTGCTTGCTGTCCGTGAAGTTTTGCTGGCATTGGTTGGCATCAGTCGGTCTGCAACAGCGAATTATGCAGTCTAACACAACGTGACAATAATCAGACTAATTTTGTACAGAAACAGATAAGATCGAAAAAGTTGCTTTGGCTTAGACGCATGATACTTGTGGTTGGTATGAGCGCACCTAGGAAGGTGGTCTTGTTTTGTTTGCCGGATGTAGGGTGTCACCAAGCGCAAGTGGGGGAGTCAACAATTGACTTGGTGTCTGGATATGATGTCACTGAGGACTAAACTGCGTCGCCTTCACAATAGAGGCTTCACACTTTACAGATTCTGGCTAACAACAGGGGAGGGTGGTGCTTTTGCTGTTGTTTCCGCTCCGGACAATCTGTCTGAAATGTGTTCTGCTCTGAGTTCTCTGTAGACAGAGTAAGACGCGATAAGTTGAAAACTGCAAAGAAGTTCACACGATATCTCGCTGGTTGTCACTACGTGTTGCAGGCAATGTGTAGGCATCTTGACCTTGACTTCTCTTTAGGTCATTATGTTTCTTTACTAGGTCCCATTTCTTCTCCAATATTTGTATTCCCCACTACTAGAGTAGTTATGGTTGTACGGCAACACCTGTGGAACACTTTTCTATTCGTGTTCTTGTTGCTACTCACCCATCCGTCAGTTAAACTACTGGCTCCTATTCCCATGGATCAAATCCCATGTTTGGTACACATGCGTATTCGGTGCATGAACTGCACGTTGCGATGGTGTTTAGGTGTGTATTGCACTTTTTTCTGCTCTGGTCTTCTACAGGCTTGCTTAAAAACACTCCTATTTTGTGAAGCCTTGATCGGAGATACTTTTGCGAACTGGTGCAAAACAGTTCAATTGAACGTATTTTGTATCTTGAGCCTTGCACTTTAACCTGATCAGTCTGTGTCTATTGTCTGCTTCCAACCATTCCGTTGTGGTGCATACACGCATTCCCGCTGCTTTTGCCTTAATCTAGTCCTCACCAGATTTTACCTCAAACGGGAATGGCGGGAGGTTCCCCGGAATGAAACTTAACAATATCATTCAGCCAATTACAGTGGGGTCTTCTAACATGAATCAGTTTTGTGCTCTCGCTGATACAGCGCAACCAAGAGATGGGCCTGATCAACTTTTATATCCCCGTCAAACGTTACGATATCCTTACCACTTGCCGAAAACAACAACCTCTTTGTTCAGGCCATTGAGTCAGCCAAGTTTTCTGCAACATGGTTGTCCCTGGAATACCAGTGTAGAGCAGAGTCGTTGGTTTGATCTGCCACATCCACCCTTCCCAGAGACAACAGGATTACAGGAGGCACCTGCGTACCCGGTCTTGGGTCTCATGACTGAAGCAACTTTTACTATGCCGTCAACATCACCATATGGTCCACTCCCTTTTCGTCCAAGCTACAGCGCACACGAAAGCCAGGTAACACATTCTTCACGAAACTTCCCAATCCTGTTGGAGAAACCACAGCTTCTATCAAACTCAGATTCTGCACACAAAAGTGAGTGTCTTGTGCACTGTATCACATACATTTCACACTGTTTCTCTTCATTTACCCTCGGCAAACAGAATTTGGGGAAAACCAATTACTCATTTCTAGCCCGCTGTGGTGTACCCTACATAGCAACATCAATGGCGAGTGTTCGGCAGTTAACCTCTGGTGTTTGTAGCTAAGGTTGGCCGTTTAGTTATTGAGTCCATGTGGAAGAATTTCAGACAAACTGAAACTGCCTTGGAAACAAAACAACGCGGTACATAGACAGCGAGCAACACAGCCACCGCAAGCAAAAGCATCGAACTTCTAACGTAATACACCAGCACGTGGCTGAACGAACAAGGTGTCTGCTTTGCAACCCGGAGATTGCGGTTTCGAGACTGCGTAGGGAACCGGACAATTCTCACAATATCCTTAGCCTGCGCGGGACTCGTGGTAATTGCCTGGCAGCGAAGCGTCGGTACGCCGTACCGGCGTATTGCTAATGCCATTTTTACTGCGCCAATAGAACTGCGAGAATCCCACTCACTTCGCGTTGCGGCCAATAGCAATTGCCCAGATAGCAATGCTCACAGAAATTTGGTAGCCAATCAGAATACAGAAGTTGTTAGCATCAGAGGCATATATAGCGAACGGAATCGTAGATGATAATATCCATTCCTGGGTTCGCCTGCTACCATAATCGAAAATGAATTCCTTAACTTTTCTGCACTGATCGTGGGGACCCGAGTGGTGCTTATTTTTTCACATGCCTTTTCACACTTAACTGACGCATATCCGTACGCATCACCCATAAAAGATTGGAAAACATAGTTTAAGGTATCAGCAACAAACCCACCACTAATAGGTACAATTAGTAATGGGTACCGATTTAGTAAGCGAAATTGCCACACTTGTTTGTAATGGAGATTGCGGCGACCTCTCTTTGCATTCCGGTTTCAGTGCCAGGACGATATAGGTATTTCTTGTTAACTCCTTTTACGTGGTGTTTATTGTACTTGCGTGGTTGAGCATGTATGCTGAGTTGCTGATTGATCAATCCACTTCTCCTCACGCCGGATCTCCCTTGGCTTTACCACTGATAGACTACGCTCCATTGGCACACGCACTCGGTTCGACCAGTGCCAGTCCGCTCCGACTTCTCGATGCTGGCGGCTTTCACTCATGTGCCCTTTCCACTGGATCATTTTCATTGTTCTAAACCGGGTCGCTGAGTACATATGTGGGTGGTGCAACGTGATACGCGAATCACCACCGTTCTCATTCAACTTCCACAGACTTTGACTATCTTCCAGGTGTGCGACTGGTTGCATTCGTTTATTCAGGTCAAGTCGATACAAGCCGCCGCCTATTTGGCGTCACGTTCCGTGTGCCGCCAGTAATCTAGCGGTCGGCACTCCTGCGTCTGTTTATCCGTGTTTCTTTGGCATCCAGCCAACGGCAAGAGCGAATGCAATCCACGTAGGATTCAGGGTGCAATGCCCACGGAAACAGATGCAACCAGTTCCTGTTTTGAGGGCTTCTACCATATATTATTCCATTAAGCCACCTAAAATTGTTCTATCTGCAAGCTGCAGGACTCGTGAACAATTGTATCATTTTATCAAACCTGGATGTTTGTGGCAGGTGTTCCTACGTGTGTACTTCAAAAGGATCCTCAGGCATAATACCACCATAATCCTTCATGATGTTAAACCTTTCTCTTGGATACTGCTTAATCTGCGGTGTTTCAGTGAAGACAATCCTAGACGAAGTAGTCGGGCAGTGAATGTGTTTTCATGTTGCTTTTCAATTATCTTAGTGGCCAGCTTCGCTACTCTCTGTACGCATGCGGCATCCCACTGGATTTGCGGTTTCCATACTTGCGTCCAGTATTCAAGAATTAGGTGTACCGCTGTTTGGTGTACGCGATATACACCTCCGATTTAGTGGTGTGGAGCAGTCTGGAGATTCCCCCGGTCTGTGTGAGTATGTTGTGTAAAATACTAACTAAAATTGTCATGTTGTTATACACTTACAGGTTGTATGCAAAATGAGGAAATATATGTTGAACTTGTTTGTCTCACCCAACACATACCAAGACATACACACGGCGCCACAGTTGAATTCAGCACGCGACTCAACCGCATGGTCCCTCACATCCTTCCCTAGCTAGCTACGCGTCGTCTAGTGTTGTAACTTTGGCCTCAACAGGGGAGCAATGTTCCCCCAACAACATACCTTCGTCTAGTCAACACAATTATTGGGAACGGTACCGGCCGACAGTCAGTCTGTTACTCCAAGCCTGTTAGAGTGAGCCGGCCACTCTACAGTTGCATACCGTTCGTTTGAGGAGGATTATCACCTGCCGCGCCCTGTTACTGTTATTCTTTAAAGTGACATCTAGGTCACATACTTTGTCAATACACTGCGGTGTCTAAGATCCGGTAAAACTTTACACCGCATTCCCATCTCCAGTAGATGTCAACAGCCGAAACTTTTGGCTCTGAGAAGCAAGTCGCATAAGGCTGATCATTTCAGTACAGTGCTCAAATCTTTGGACGTCGCAATTCCAGTGCCCCTGCGGACGAGCTTTAAGTCTTCGGGAACGACGTAGTAAAAATCTTCAATGTAAAGCTTCAAGTCAGTTATTAGCATAAAAGATAGTGATGTGCTTAGAACAGAAGTCGGGGTGGAACGCCTCCAGTTCTACTACGAGAGGTACTTGAACACATCAAGTCTGCTTTCCATCTTAACAGTTAATAAGGTGTCCCGCACCAGATCCGCTTCGTTAGTAAGAACGAATGGTTTATGGATTGGAAGTACTTGCTCAGATGAAGATATCATATGCCTACGGAAATTCCATTTTAAAGACGACGACTTATCTCATCTAAAAGTCAATTGAGATTGATAGGACATGATTTTGCGAAGCCGTGCAAGTTATGAACAAGTTATTGTTCACAAATTCAGTTCCTGATAATCCTCTCCGAACATTAAATCATTATATGCATACATCTCTTGGACCCAACAAACGAGAACTGACGTGTGATATTGGCCGCGTACTTGTAAGACAGTGTCACTGAACTACGGATCACTTTTGCTACTCATGTCGATAAGCTGAACCGGCATGTTCTAACCGGCACAGCTGTTGGATGACTGAGCTCTTGCAACGGCTCTGAAAAGATTTTTGCAGTTTTGAATTACCTGCAGAATCACGTTGGACTCGGTACGAAGGGGCTACAACATGTTCACGCTGCCTGATCACTTGCGAACTAGCGGCACATTTGATGTACGCCCGAGAAAATCAGTAATTCGGCCTAAATCAGAAGAAAGGAATTAGCAGTACGCCGGTACGCAATACCGACGATTCGCTGCGGCGCAACCACCACTAGTCACCTGTGGGCTAAGGACACTGTGAGGATCGCCCGGTCCCTATGCAGGCTCGATACCCGCGACCTCGGATTACAAGGCAGGCGTGTGACCCCTACTGCCACGGCCATAGCTCCAAGAAACTTTACAGAGTTCGCCCGACCTCACCGCAATAATACTGTCACTGAAAGATAATTAAAACTGTGCAAGTCATAGCTGAGCTCTCCCCCTTGAAACCGCCGCAAAGTGTCAACTCAAACTTCGCAAAGTCCACCTCCCTCACCAGTGGCGTGCCTCAAGGCACTGTGCTGAGGCCCACTCTGTTCCTGATCAACCTCAAGTATCTACCTCAGCTTCTCCGGTCGCCGTGTGCCTTGTTTACGGACGACATGAAGATTCGGAGAGAAATTGACGCTCCCGGCAACTGTGCAAATCACACCTGATGTTTATTCTTTACTCAGCTGGTCCTTTACCCTAAAATGTTTACTCCGAACGTTTACTGTTACTTCATGTGCAACCTTGATCCCGTGAGGCATTTAAAGCCTCGCTGCCATTTCAGAACTCCCATGGATCTAAGGTGGGACGATGGTTTTCCTTTCCATTGCGCTGGTAGAAGGGGGTTGTGGCTGATTCTTCGACATCAGACACCGTAGAAGAAAATTTTTAGGGTAGGTATTCCGGTGGAACATGTTAAATAGGTGGTCTTCCTCTGCTTTCCTCAGTTGCAGCTTGCTGCAACGTGTTTGGGCCCGTTTGAAAAGTGTCCTGATGCAACTACCTGCCGTAGCATTCAGAACCGATATTGCCTGGCTCGTGGTTGCAATGTTCAATGTGATGGCTATTCTACATCGTTGCGGTTCTTTCAAACCGCTTCCGACGTTTCACTAACAACCGACACTGGACAAGCAAGAAACTTTTCTGTTGCTGAGGTTATTTCAACGAAATTACAGTACTTCGGTGGTGCTGATTTCAAATGTGAAAGCAGTTTTTGAAAACTTACTCTAGTTTCTGAGATATAACACTCAGTTAATCGATAATTATTAATAATCAGTACTTATTTATACCTTGTTTGTATTCAGACATGAATTCAAACATGAATTCCTATCGACAAAGCCGTTTGAACAATCTCGATGTCTTATGCCACATTTGTGGGGAACACAAACTCACTCTGTGAGTTAAGCATACTGCGCCTAAGTTTGAGTAAAACTTGGAGATCAGCAATAGTTCTAGAGTCCTCATAATGTTTGAGAATCCAGTGTCCATTGTCTCCAAAAAAGTGACAACTGTTGCAAAGCTTGGTTTAGTGTCCTTGGAATGGAGATAATCGACAATCCATCACGATGATTGTTATTTCTGTGCTGTCCATGTGAAAGACTTTAATTGATACGTGAAACATAAATGGCAGTGTTCTGATCTGGAATCAGGTAGGCGACCTCTGCCGCACCACGCAGAATTTCCCATGCCAGTGTTTGCTTCACTGACTGCCTTTTCATTTTCTGAGATTTAGGAACTGTTTGACAAGGATGTTTGCTGTATTACAAGTGATGGCTGTCACAGTGAGCATGACGGAAATTTCCCAACACGGGAATTTTCCAAGAAGATCAGAACGATCTCATACGAGACCACTTTTTATCAAAACAAGCATTTAATCTGTTAGC